AAATGTTAAATATTAAATATTAAAAATAGTCATTTTAACCATTTACTTTTTTGTATAACCTTTTCTGACACGCTCTCGCCACCAGAGGGCGCTGCCAGGTGACTTGGGTAGAGACAATCAGTGGCTGATAAATACACACATGAACACACACACAGTCAGAATGACATCAGTCACCCACAATACAATGCTGCTGTTGTAACGCTGTCTAATGCACACACACACACACACACACACACACACACACTGTCTGACCCAGTCACTTCCCAGAGCCAGGCAGTGATCCAGCACATCCCATGACTACTACTACTACACATACACATCATGCACACACACTTTCATAAAACCCTGAAAACAAACAGAGGCTGATGCTGTCTGTGTGTGTGTGTGTGTGTGTGTGTGTGTTCTGTGACGTCTATCTTTGTGAGGACCAGAGATACAGTAGAAGTAAGTTGTCGCAGCCTGAAATTTGTGTTTGATCACTCTGCAACATTCAGGACCGTAAACTCCACCCCGACAGAGCAGGGACAGTAAATACTGGTTCCTCCAGTTGGAGCACAGGTTAGGTTTCTGATTTCATAAGAACTTGGGGAAAAAAGGCAACATGGCTGCAGGCAAAGACAAAAACCCTCCTCGCTTTCCCACCAGTGTGTTGAGCATCAGCGTGACTCCTGGTCTGAGTGTCTGGAGCTGTTACTGAATACACGACTGCTGCTGCCATGTTTTATTTAGATAGCGAGCACACACATACACACACACACACACACACTGAGCAAAGTGGTGCAGAGAAGACAGGGGAGCTAAAAACAGCAGAGAGGAGAGGAAAAACAAAAAAGAGGAGGAGAGGGGAAATACCGACAGGGTAGAGAAAGACTGCGTGCAGCAGCAGCAGCAGCCTGATTAAGAGGAAACATCTGAGTCACTGTAGTTAAAAATATACACTCATCAATAAGAGATCCTCCATGTAGACTACATGAAGAGATTAAAACACCCTTTATGAATGAATCAGTGAATGGATGAATAAATTAATAAAATCATCCTGAAAATAAGAACTGTTTTGGTGAACTAATGTTGGAACAAGCAGACCGTTATTCTAAATTGTAAATACACTAAAGGAAATGTAAGTAAAATTTATTGATTAAGTAGGTAGGTAGGTAGGTATTAATGAAACGTATGCACAATAATTATCAGGGCAGTTAAATCATCAGCTGATAATGGGAAATTTATATTGTTATAAATTATCCCAAAAAATAAATAACAGCCAATAAATTATCGGTCAATGATAATAATCTTTTTTGAATTCCTATGCAAAATGATTGATAGGCTTTTTGTTCTATGAAAGCCAAAGTATGTTAAAAGAAAAAGATCTGGCAGATGTTTTTGCTCAATACAAGAAAATGGGATTATAATGAAGAATTGAAGAATATTGAAGAAGATTGGATTGTTTCTAGAAGGGTTGTGTTTGCTGTGTATGTCGATGATAACGGCCGTAAGAAGAACATAATTAAAAATCCATATTGTGCATCCCTTGTTAATGGTGAATAACTGGAACAAGGGACACTTTAAATTCTTCACAAGAAAATCAAATAAGAACCATACTGAGACAAACCAGAGTGGAAACTCCTCATTTCTTCTTAAAATCCACTAGAGATGAAGAGGAGGAGTGAAGTTTAATGATGAAGGATGAAACGTTGACTGCTCTGGGTCTGCACACTGACTGGAGTTACATAAATAACCGAACGGTCAATTGCGTGACCTGTGGAAGCCAGTTGTTATGTAACACCAAGGCCGTGGAGAGATGAAGGGCATTATGGGTAATTTGCTGTCTGAGGTCAGACAGTTGGGTCGACGGATGTTCAGTATTCATGAATTCAACAAGAAACTGCTGAGACGTATCAATACGAGTCTGCATGTATGTAAGCAACACGGTCAGAGTCGAGCTGCTGGCTCTGCTGCTTTTATTCAGAACTCTTATTCAGACCAATTCCAGTCAATTAAAGTCCTCTTTGGATCCTGAAGAACGTTGAGAAGCTTCGACTCTGGGCTCACCCTTCCCTGGTATCTTTTTCAGGTGTTTGGAGATTTAAAAGATCCAAATCTTGGGCTCTTTTGTCAACTGAAGCACTTGCAATAAGCTCTGAAGGTTACTCAAACAGGGTCCAGTTCAATAATGTCAACAGCTGTGGTACAGGATAATCAGTCAGTATTTGCACAGTGAGTGTTCAGGATTTGGATTTAAAAATCCCAATTATAAAGACAGCAGGGAGACCCAGAGCACTACACACTAAGAGGTTCCAGTACACAACATAAAACTCAAACCAAAAATCGACAGACAAGCTCATAGGTGATGGTTTACTTTCTTTAAGTCCATTTCATCCACAGCACAATCCTTAATCACTGAAAGATGCTACTGACCCAACAGTGACTTTCTATCAATAGTGCTCAAACTCTGTCTGTTCAACGTTGTTTGAGTTTAGAATTAGATGCACCGGGTCAACGAGCAGAAATAACAACCAGCTCTATTATCAACCAGGAAGTGTCCATGTTTTACCTTGAGCTGCACCAGGTGGACGTCCACGTGTCTGTTGTCACTGTCTTGTCCCACAGAGTGTGTGAGCTGTGTGACTCTGTCACTGGTTGCTCTCAGCCACGTTTCGATCTCCGGGAGGTGGAGGACGACCTTCCAGTCGGCTCCAGTGTGGAGGGGCGGAGGTTTCTTTGACCTGAAACAACACATAGTACGTAAGATAGACGTAGAAGAATCAAACATGGCCACTGTCTTAGACTATTTGATAAACTGAAAAACACAGAACTCAAAAGATAAGTTGTCGTCGTTATCAGACGATTTGTTACCTCCGGGAGGGGTCTCGACCCAGGTGAGATCCTCCCCCAGTGAGGTCACCTTGGCTGGGGCCAGGGCCAGGTGGGGAGGCCCCGTCCTGGGACTGATGCTCCAAGTCCAGGCTGAGAGGAGCGGTGGTGACAGCAACAGAGGAGGTGCAGGCGTCAGGGTCAAGGGTCGGGGTGACAGGAGTGATGGAGGTGATCATCGGGGACGGTGGTTCAGGGGCCACGGGTGAGAGAGCTACGATGCTCATGGTGAGAGACAGGGAGAGAGACCTACAGGGTTCTTAATGCAGGTGGACGAGCCTCATTGGAGTAAACTGGAGGGAGAGAGAGAGAGAGAGAGAAAGAGAGAGAGAGAGAGCCAAGGAGACAGAGACATATTGTAAGAAATACAAAATACGATTCTGATAAGGAGTATCAATATCAAATCAAATCAACATTTCAACCGACAAGAATGCACACAACACTGATTTTGATTTTGCAACACTTGCTATGTGTACATTTTCATATGTGCTTCTTTATTTATGAGGACCAGTTGACGCTTTGCAGCTTTCACCCATTCATACTCATTCACACTCACGCACTGTAACACTACCACGAAATGAACATCAAGGAGAAATTTGGGTTTCAGTGTCTTGCTCAAGGACACTGGGACGTGCAGACAGGAGGATCTGGGAATCGAACCGCCAACCTTGTGATTAATGGTTTTAGGCTAAAAGTTTGAATTAGGTTTAGAGAAGGTTTAGAGACGTTTCCCCCCCAGGGATCGATAAAGTATTTCTGATTAGGGTGAGGATTTCTATAAAAGAAGATGAAGTAGACATGCCCTCTTTGGCCTTGTTTTTTATTCAGTTATACAAACTTGATTGGTGTACAATCAAAAGATAAGATACTGATTTAGACACTGTTCATGAGACAATTATTTTGTAAAAATATGTTTATAGTCCCCAAGCCTTGAACCCTACAATAAAAGATAGGCATAATCAGCCAAACCACTGATCAGAAAGTTCACTGGACCCTGGATTTATCGCTAGGCGGTTGTATGCCTTCGTCAACCAGTCAACTTGCAGTTTACATCCATGTTTGTCCAGAATCATTTAATATATGTGTGGAAGACTTTGAAGGAATATTGGCAGAACATAGTCGAGTATAGCTATAGAATGTGGCTCTTTCCTTTTCTCTTCCTCTGCGTGAGCTTTATTTTTCAGATGAGATCATTGATGAGAATACATGTCAATTCATACAGTAATGTGTGAGGTCACAAACACAGCTCTATAATATATGGAAAAGACCTGCCGCTGTTCTCCACACCTCCAACACAGACCCCTTTCCTGTTGACCACCAAAAAAGTGGACATTTGTGCCAAGTTTAATCCCCTAGCTAAAAAACAATGTACTGAAGGAGACTGTTTTTCTCTTTTCTTGTAGAATTATGTCTTTTGTGTTGTTGTGAGGTTTATTTTATTTGTTACTCTTTGGTTGTTGGTATAGCTGAGCAACTTTGAGCATTTTCCATTGTGGACAATATAAAACATCTAATCTAATCTAATTAGCCTCCAGTTAATCTCTTGCCATACAACACACCCCAGCTCTATAAGAGTTCATGGTTCAGTGTTTATGACTAGGCAATGATCTCTTATTGGAACTGCATGAAACAAACAAGGAAATAATCTCTTTAGTCCCTATAAAAGGATGCCGACAGACAGAACAGCTACAGAAGGAAGCAGTGTATATACTGGGAACACTGGAATACAGCAACTCCGCAGTGCATTTAAGACTTTTTCCGAAAACTTTTTTGA